CATAAGAAAACTCATTTAAACGGATCTCTCGGATGTGGATTTTTCCAAATTGGGACCCCTGTTGGGCCGGCTTTTCATTATAGGGATTCTATTAGACACCAAAATACCATAGTTTTGGCCGACCAAACTGAACATTTCTACTACTTTAAAAATATATAGTAGTTTTAGTCTTTTTACAGACTGCAGACACCAGACGTCAAAATAATATATATCAAAAGCCGATGTTCTGAGTCTAGGTGCTTCATATTGAATGCCAATAGTTCTAGTAGGACATTGAAAATTGTATTTTTCTAATTAAATTGAGTGCAAGACTTCGTGTGTGCCATGCAGTAATCCATTCTAAAACAATTAGAAGAAAAAATTCAACTACAATATATAATATCATGGTTTTAGCAGACCCAATTAAACATGTTTCCTTCAATCAATAAATACATTAAAATATAGGCCTATAGTGATTTTAATGCATAAAAATATATATGATGATGATGACGATAGATATACATCAAGATAATACAAAACATAAGATGATGTTCTGTGTATCAGTGCTCTATATTGAATTAGGACGGTGTTGTTAGTAATACTGTTGGGTAGAACGAGCACAGGACCTGATGTGTGACTAGCGAGAAGCGATTTTTTTTCCCTGGACGTTTGAGGCAGTGTCGATTGGTGGCGCTATAGGATTCGGCAATAAAATCATGAATATTAATTTTCGCTACCGGGAAATAGTTTAAGCATTAATAACAGGCATACAGCAATTGTAGGTCCTACATCCATTCTAACAACCTTACATTTACTGTATCATTTCTTAATTTCCCTCTAAATAAAGATATTTAAAGACTACTTTTAAAGCCGGTCTTTAATTAGAGGGATTCAAATAAGAGACCAAAGCTGCTAAAGACCACTAAAGACCCAAAAGTGATCTTAATTGGTATGGAGGAAGACCTGCAATAGGATTGAGGAAAAAATGGTCCGGCCAAAGCCGGTGCTATTCCGGCGGTCCTGGGAGGCATTTCATGAGTCCACATCCACATCAGACCCACCATGGTTGGGGCTGAGTTCCGAAAATCTGAGGAAATAATCCTCTAGATAGCCAGAAATTACACTCTTAGTCAAATTCATCATCATTAATCACCATTATATATATATATATCTGTCTCTTATAAGCGCCAACAAATTAATTTCTCATGATCTTTATCACGGCTTTTCGGCAGCCATAGAGATCTTAATATGTGTGATGTACCCGGATAGAAAATAAAGCTTAAAAATATTGTCTTTGATTGCATGTACTTTACATAATTCAAACCCGTGATATCACAACCTCAGCCCCACCATGGTTGGGGCTAAGTTGAGAAAATAGTACATCTAGGGGGTCGATAATGACACTTTTATATAGTAAAATTCATCATCATCATTACATCACCCTTATATGCAAACAAATTTCTCATGATCAGGGATTTTTTAGCTACTAGTAGTAGTAGTATTAATAAACAAAACTTAAACGCTTGCAAAGGATAAATACCAAACTGAACCATACAAATATCACATTTCTGTATCTTAAAAGACATGACCTGGGATTTATGGATTTAAGACGAATTCAAGTTTGATAAATCCGTCCCTTGAACGTTAGCCTTTATAAACCCGGAAATTTTAATTTTTTCATGATCGTGTAATGTAGTGAAAAATGTATTAATCTAATGTGTATTCCACTGGGTTACTATCAGGTAAGCGGGTGACTTTCATTGATAGAAGTTATTGTGGGTTTCTTATCAGAGCACGGGTCACAAACCTATAGTTGAAGGAGCCAATTAGAATTATACAGCATTTTTAGATCAACACCAAACTATGTGTATAACGTGTGCTGATGCATATTTACATATTTTAGAAGTATTTATTTTGAGTGAACCAAGAAAAGAATTTGTATTGGCTAGCAAGAACAAGCTTTAAAATTGTAACACTGTGTACAAAGGGGGAAGCCGCGGATCCCACGGCTCTTCCCCTGGATACGTCCCTGCACATGAGGGCAGTGGCAGTAGATCTAAAAAAGGATATACAGTATTAATCAATCAATTATTAATCAATCAGCCTCATGAGGGCAGTATAGTAGAGGCAGTATACCTAAAAAATCCATCAATCAATCAGCGAGTTGCTAGAGCTCCTCATCGGAGCTAAAAATGTGAAGCGTAAGCCAAAAAAATGTAAATTAAGTCAAATTAGGTTTGTAACAAACAAAAGTTGAATTACATTATCATTGGTTTTTTATTATAATGTTTTTATTATAATTATGTTTGTTTTTTTATTGATGATCCTAATTGATCAATAAATAATAGCAATAATAATACTAAAAATAATGAATAATTATCACGTTTTTCTATTTATGAATTTATTATTGTCCAGTGCCTCTTTGCCCTTCAAGTATTCGTATTTTTAAAGTGTATTTTTTGTTTTACTTGTTAATATAACGCAATTTAGTTTTTACTAGAACGTTATATTCGGAAGTTCTTATTTAACCAGTAGAGTATGTACAATCACATACTTATTTTGGAATAATTACCTTGAATCATAACCTCACTTGGAATGGCCATGTTAAGGCCATTGCATTCAAAGCTAACGTACTTCTTGGGTTCATTGCCAGTACAGCCGGTGGGGCACCCCAGAAAGCTAAATTTTACCTCTACCGTGCTCTTGTACTGCCTGTACTTGAGTATGGTATTCCAGCCTGCTTACCTCATACAACCACACATTCCGATAGTATAGAAAAAATTCCAAAGAAGAGCCACAAGACTGGCATTAATACAGGCCCGTAGCCAGGTCATTTCAAGGGGGGTTCTCTGGGCGTGGGGTCCAGGGGCCTGCCTATAGGGGAACGGTGGGGTCGTTTTGACGCACTCCGTTCTGTAGTGTGTGTCTGCTATTGAAAACAAACTTCCTAACTGGCTATGATGACTGAGATGGACCATATTGATTTATTAATTATATTTTGTTTGGGATGGAAAAAAGGAGAGTCAATTTCCCCAAAATGCTCCAACAGTACATGGTTTAGTGTGCGCTATGGACGGTATGGCTATGGACTAACCACACAATCCACAATCAGGTGGTGATTAAGTCGCAAAACTTTATCTGCATTTGGTGGAAGTCGCAAAACTTAAGCTTCGTTTGGTGGCACCATTTACTCTAGGTAGACGGCGACCGGTTTCATTAACAGTTGGTACATTTCTTACAAACATTCAGCCAAAGGCCAGTGAAAGTTGAGACGGCAGCCGGGTTTTTATCGATGTTTGCCATTCTTATGCGTGCCATCGTAAAGTCATGGTTTGTTGGAGTTGCGTTCAATTTAAATCGCCGAACTTCTGAAGCTGAGATATTCTATGAATGTAAGTTTGTATCGCAGGCTACAATTTAAAAACGGGTGACCAAATAATGAATTAGGTGCTAAATTTTGATTTAATGCTAGGTAAGTTAAAAACAGACATTCCGTCCGAGTGGGACTCATTCAAAAATTCGAGGGGGTTCGTTAGAAAACAGGGGGGTTCGTCCGAACCATAAAAACCCCCCTGGCTACGGGCCTTATTAATACAATGTAGACGTGATATGCAATATATAGACCGATTAATTTCACTGGCCACAACTCTTAGTTCGTAGGCAATTCCTTTTGATTTAATTTATTTGCAAGCCTCTCCTGTGTTATGTTGACTGTACAAGTATTTCAAACACTATTCAAGTCTACTTTTTTACCTCGCCATTGTGACACTCTTTCCTTTAAACACCTTAATTCAAATCATAATTCTCTTCACAAATCTCCTATACACACATTCCCCCGTCTTTTGGAAGGACCTTCTAAATGATCTAAAGAATTATCTCGTCCTTGATCCTTTCCTCATATTCACTTCAAGACTCAAATCACACCTGTATACATCATATCCCTCAACAACTGAATAATAAGTCATAATAATGATAATGATAGGAATAATTAAAATAATAATAGTGATCATAATAATAATAATAATAATTATGGTAATGATATTAATAATAATAATAATAATAATAATGGTGATATTAATAATAACAATAAATATGTTTCCCTTGTTGCACCTCTTAATTTTACTGATTTTGTTTTTCTGTACTTTTTGCGTGATGTATATTTATGTTTTATATTAAATTTTAATGATATATATTTGTAATTACTGTGGGAGTGGTTCTCTGACTTGTTATATTAAGTTTACTTAGAGACCAGGCCCTCCCATCCAGCTGTCTTGATTGCCAATAAAGTATAAGAATAATAACCTTTTTATTGTTGCTATTTGTATGTTTGTAAAGTTTAATAAATATACCATGAGAATGAATGAATAAATTATGTGAAGTATCGAGGAAATTAAACGTTTACGTATGCGATTTGTTTTAGAAATGCGTCTATTTGACGATATTATGTCTATGTCAGCAGTTCATAGTATTTGCGATACTATATACTGTAATTGTTTATTTATGTATCGAAGTTTCCATTATTGAAATAATCTGTTGCAATGTCAGTGGCGGCTTTAGAGAAATTTTATGAACATGTATGTTTTTATGACATGAAAATAGTGGTAAGTTAGCCTAAATTTAAACTTTTTTTATAAATACCTCTGAAAAATTAGTTTATCAACCACACGCCCACGTCATAAGGAACCACCCTCCCAAGGAAGTGCTGCTGATTCAACCTCCTGAAATTTTAGTAGCCCTACTTATTGAAAAAATTCTGATCCGCCCTGGTAGGCAACTAGTGAAAATGAAAGAAAAAGGTAGTGACGAATCTGTGGCGGATCCGGTATTCAAAACAGAGGGATCCAGGGTCTACACTACCTCAGCCCCGCCATGGTGTGGGCTGATGCAAGAAAATAAATTATAATTTTCTTTTTGTCTCCATTTTTCTATTTTGAAAAAGTTGGGGAGGGGAGGGGAGGGGGGCCACCCCCTTGAGCCCACCACTGATTGAATTGAACTTTAAATAATAAATGAGAAGTCTGTATTGTAAATAGAACCTTTATTCACCGTTGTCTGAATGAACCAGAAGTTTGATAGAAAAATAGAATTGAAGACCACACAATTTTACAAATAAATAAAAAGAAAGAAAAATAACAGTTTATATAAAAAACACTTTATCACAAAAATAGTTTGAAAAACACTACATATTATAAAGATAATTAAAAACAAGCAAGTCAGGTTTTTCTTTCCAGTTTCTAAAACTATTGATAGTTAAATATATATGAGAACATGGCTATAAGAATCACTTGTTTCTGTGGTTAGGTAATTGTTAATTAAGAAAATAGGAATCGGCCTTCATTTGCATTAAATCTCAAATCAGTTATTGTATATACTAACAACTATGAGGCCAAGAAGTTCCATTTATGACTAATGTTCTCAATGAATGTTTAATTTTGCAAAAATTATTATATATAAATCTTAATAGTTTTGAAAAATGTCAATATACATGTATACATTTTTCTTAGATAAGAAATAGATTAGGTTTACTTTATCCACAGTATATTATGGGATTGAAGATAACTTCTAGAGTATAAATCGAAACAGACAGGTGTTTTAAGACATAATCTGAAAAATTAAAAACAGGAAAACTATAAAAATAATACCATTGATAATTACTAACAAAGACATAACTACTAACCAAATCATAATTACTAACAAAGTTTAAGTTCCTAACCAAGTCATAATTACAAACCAAGTCATAATTACTAACCAAGTCAAAGTTACTAAACCAAGTCATAATTACCAACCAAGTCAAATAATTACTAACAAGTCAAAGTTACTAAACCAAGTCATAATAACCAACCAAGTCAAGTAATAATAACCAAGTCATAATTACCAACCAAGTCATAACTAACAAAGTCATAATTATTAAGTAATAATTACTAACCAAGTCATAATTACTAACCAGGTCTAAGTTACTAACCACTTCATAATTACTAACCAAGTCACGATGCTAAAACATATTTAAACAAGGTCTTTGCTGATATAAGCATAAATACATATGGTTCAGAATCGATCAATATTAAGAACATGTAAAAATTCAGCCAAAATTAATATTACAATTCTACAAACAACACTGGAATGACTACATAGTATATGAAATTCTACATAACTAAACGACAGAAAATAACCATCACCAAATCTGGACAATTTTTACCAAAATATACAAATATAATATATTGCTCATATTACTAAAATACTAACTTCATCTACAATTCAAAATTCAAGATTGAAAATATGCCAATTGTTGGGACTTAATAGTGGGCCCTCCAACTTTGGCTTAATAATTCTGATTTCATTTTGATACCATACTCTCAAAGAGAAAGGTTATCTTATCAATTTTTAATTTAACATCAGTATTTTGTCAGGATAAGAAGTAAAACTAATAAATAGTTAATACCAACACGAATATTTTTATTACAAGTTTATAACATCAAAACTGCATATTGGCATTTTGTTCCAAGAGCTAGTGTTTTACAATACTGCACGTCCATTTACGTATTTCATAGATATGTTTTGAGGTATGAAACAGCGACATGAAATGCTTCCCATTTATATAACATTTGCACTGGCAACAGAAATATATTTTTGTGACATTGCTTGTTTTGGCAGTCCTAAATATATTTACTCAACACAAGCCTTCTGATTGGTCAAATGTTTACTATGTTACTCAAACTAAACTTTGTCATGATAACAGTCTCATATGCTCTTACCCTTGTTACTGACATTAACTTTTAATAAAAAATTTGGTGGCTCAAACAATATATATACAGAAATTTATACCACTTACTTTCAACCAAATATATATATTTACATACTAAGCATGCTATTTATACATTTTATAGGAAAGTCTAAAAAAAAACCCAATATGTCATTTAAATGTAAAGATAGTAAAATGTCTGCTACAGAAATGACTTCGTTTTCAAGTAGAACTGATAGAAGAGTATACCCCTTGACTAACGCTGCGTAACGAAGGCTCTTACAGACGCAGCATTTATGCTACCGATTCAGCATGTATTGATTTTATTTATTCTGTGTCGTCAACATTTCGGCACAAACATATCGCAAACAGCATACAGAACAGCTGAAAAAAAAATACAATAACATAATAGTTATGTATAGTTTTAAAATCACAAGGCAAAATATCTTTACTATTTAACTAGGTGGCATTTGCTTTGACTGCAATGGCGGTGCTACAGTAGTAGGGGAAGGAGGGAGGATTTATTTCCTGCCATCTGACACCACTTACGGTTGTCTAACTAAAAATAAAATATCTTCCACTTGGCTCACTAGATGTTTTTTAACTGGTACCCTGACCAAATCTCTAGTCTCTCCCCCCCCTTCCCACATTGAAAAGGTAAAAAAAAAAAATCACCTCATATAACCTTATTTTGCAAACTAGCTCCTCTGCACTTAATCATTGAGGCCCCCCCCCCCCCCACTCCACCTTTCCCCATCAGCCCCTTTCAAGACTAGGTACGCCACTGCCTGGTTCAGACCTTCTTTAAAACTACTTCTTTTCTGGAGTCAACATCGGCAAAGTGCCCACCACGAATGCACTCATTGTCACCAAATATAAATGTCTACGGGAATTCTCGTAAGCCGTTTAAAATACTGGTCACTCAGTCAGCACCAAGCCGTCTATAAAACAGGCTCCCTCTCCACTGTAGGTGGGTGCTTAATATTTTAAAAGGGTGATTTAGCACAGTAGTAAATGATTGGATTTTGGTCCGATCTGCAAATGCTCTGTTTGCATGTTACAGAGCAGAGTTTGTATGTATGTTTGTTTCAAACATATTTGATCAAACAAATCATTTGTCTTTCCATGTCTGATCAAACATATTTTCTGTTCAGTCAAACAAACTTCAACAATTTAATAATGTTAATATATCTATGTTTAAGCCTCGGACACATTTGATCAAACCAATCATGATCCTTGTTTGTCTGTTAGAAACCTGTCAATGCATTCAGAAAAAGTTTGACCAAACTTTGTCAGTGATCTGACAGACAAAAATGTGTATTTATTAATTATTTATGTTATAATGAATAAAGGTTTACCTCTACACAGGCAACTCCAATGGCACCAGCTCCAATCCAAATAATATAGTCATCAACTAAACTTTTTACTTTTGATTTGCAACCCTAAAATATTTTTAAAAAGTAGAAGAAAAGATAATAAATTAATACTGCCAAAGATTTATATAGTGCCAATTCTAAATCAGTGTTATCACCACTGGTCATTGGATAACATACAACGGCAAACCGGCACAAAGTGCAGCCTTCTCTGCTCCCTGAGGAGTGTACCTAGTCGGGCGCGTGTACTCAGCACACAAAGGTCGTACAGTTAATGCCACAACACCTTACCAGGTAACCATTTATACTCCTGGGTAGAGAGAGACAAACACAGATAAATTGTCTTGCCAAGCGACTTGCACAGCGATTTTCGAACCCCCGACCACAAGGTTGAAAGTCCAAGCAACAACTTATGTGCCAACTGCAAATGCCAAGTTTTAAACCAATATGATACACCAAATCCCAACACAAAGATAACAAGAAAAAACCTGATGCACAGCAGAAGCCTCCAGAAGCTAAATTATAGATTATTCTATACAAAACAAATTATTCTAATTGCAGTTTTTAAATTATATGTTGATTCAGAACTGTTGTTGTTGAGAAAGTCTCTAATTATTGTAATTTCTACAATCATATGAAATCACAAACATTTGCACCATGATAATTAATTATTATTTTACTGAAATTATTCAAATCTGGATAATAATTTCTGGAATAATTTACTTTATAAAGGTTAGTATATACAAAAACACGTTATATCGTCATTGCGGACTTATAAAATCCGCATACGCCTTAAAACTAAAAGAAAATGCATACTTTTGGAGTCCGTACTGAGCCCAAAAAATCCGCAATGAAAATATAACGTGTTCAAAACAAAGATTCTAATTGCAGTATTTAAATTATTGTAATTTGTACAATTATATGAAATCACAAACATCAGTTCCATGATAAATAATTATTATTTTATTGAAATTATTCAAATCTGGATAATAATTTCTAGAATAATTTATTTTATAAAGGTATTTTAAAAGAATTGTATATATTTTTCGTCAGAGTCTAAAGTGTAAAAGCTAAGACTAATATTTGTCTTCTTTAATTAAAAAAATTTATATCATAAATTATTTGGTTTTGTTATTTGTGTATTTATATGCTTCATTATTTGATTATCTTGTGTATTCCGTCCTGTTTTTTTTTTTTATAACTGTCCAATATGGGATGATTATTGATTGATCGGCTGATGGCTGATTTTTTTAAATAGGAATTTAAAAAATAAATTATAAAGTAAATTATTTTTTCATTTTCTAATAACCAATTTAAAAATAGTTTTCAGTAAATAGAGCTACAATATTGCAAGACTCATCTAATGGGGGTCATGACCTCCTGGCCAGATTATATTCATGTTAAATTCATATGCTTGATCAGAATTATATCTTGTTTTCAGATTTATCTGATCAAACAAAGCATAAGTATTTGCATGTCTGTAGCCTCTGTCCACATTATCAAACATTTGACAAAAAATAGTTGCATGCTCACATATAGTCATGATGTAACTATATGGTCATGATTTGATTTAAACATGTCCATGTTTTTGTCATATTTAGTTTGATAGCCTGGACATGACTTCATAAGTCAGACAATGCTGTATTTCATCAAAGGTTGATCAAACACTTTTAAAACTGACAGGCAAAATCTGAAGACAAATGCCTAACTTTAATTAATGGAAGTCATACCTCGCCATGGTAATATTTTGCGTTCTTGCCTGTAGGGTCTGCGTCCCATTCATTTCTACATAGCGTAGGGTCAGAAGCTGTATAGTCAGAGTCTTTAGCTCCCACACAGCAGCTCTCTGGGAAGTTGGGGAATCCTGGGTCCTGTTTTTTGCTGTTAAACTGATACATAGAATATACATCAGCATTCTGTTCGTTGTCGTAGTCTCCTCCATTTACAAACCCACAGCAATCCAACTATAAAAAATGAAAGCATGGTATCTGCTTTAAAGACATCATTATAAATAATAATAACTATGGTTACCATAAACATCTTGATCATATATATAATCTGTCTCTTATACA